ATATTGTAAAAGTGTTTTGACCAGATTTCCACATTACAGCTCTGATTATCGTCATTAATCTGAAAATAAAATCTAATTTGATGTGTTGGAGCTGGCTTAAACCATCGCATATATGCTAATTAATGAATTTTGGTCTTCTTTGGTAAATTAATTTTATGCTCAAAGAAGTATTGAACTTGGCCTGGAAATACTTCAATTAACCCATTTTTCTGAACAAATTTTGCGAGAATAAATGAATTCTTCAAATGTTGAGGTGCAATGGCTGATCCAAAAACCTCAGCTCCAATTTGGACATATCCGTACTGATTTATTTGAGATCGAACAATAATTCTGTGATTAGAATAGTTTAGATTTTGAACTGCTTCTACAATTGAAAAGAAATTTAGTTTATCATATGCTGTGTTGTAGTATTCGACTAGAAGTGTGTATATATTGTCCGGCAATCTAACATCAATTTTATTGGGAGACATCATTTCACCAATAAAAGACTTTGCACCAGTAATTGTCTTTTCAACGTTAAGAAGATAAAATTGTCTAAATCGTCTTAATTCAGCAAATTCAAATTTATCGTAAGCCACTAAACTTCCTGACATTGCTCGTGGTTGTATTAATTTTAAACCTTCACTAAGTCTCATATTATTTGGTTAAACAAATAGAAGATCATTAAGTCGCCAATTTTGTATTATAATTCGTAATAACTCTGGCTCGATTTGGCAATGGCTATTCGGAAAGAAGCCTATGAATACAGCTAACAGATTAATAAATTTTTATAAAAAAAAAATTTTTTTATAACTACAGTAATCAGAACTCTCTATAATCACTCTCTATAAAAGTATATCATATAAAATTCTCTTTATAAGCATACCTATTTTAAAGCAAATCATTATAAATATATAATAATAAATTCTTCATATAAGCATAAATAACTCTTTATTAACACTTTTTTTAAAAAAAACAATATGAATTTTTTCGTGTGATTAAAGAGAAGTCCAACTGTATATTTAATCAGTTACCGCTATTGTTTTGTATTAAGCTTTAACCAATTTTAGATGAAACCGATTAAAATTTAAAAATAATCTTTTACAAAATTTGTCTGAGACTGATTCTCTAAACTTACCCAAGATGCCATTCATTCTCTCAAACGACTAATACCAAAACGAGTAAACAGGACCATAATTTCTACAACATTCTACAATATGTAAAGAAAGATGAATGTTGGGTGTGATAAACTCTGGTCCGTAATGTCTTTCAATTAAACGAGCAACGGATAACAATCGAAATTGAGCTTCTTCTAAGGCATTGTTGTCAATAATTCGGCAAATAAGTAAGGAACAAGCCCTTATAAAATTTGCTAAAATTTCTTTATCAAGTCTATCCAGGAAGTCTCACATTAGTAGAGTTGCGTAAATAAGAATGAATGACTTCCACTGGTCAGCAGTATAACCCGAAAATCTATTTCCAGTTGCTATTTTAAAGGAGATCTGGCCTATATCAACTGGAACTTTAATACCCTTTGCTCTTTTTTCAATTATTTTAAGGTGCGACTCAGTGATTTTTCCACTGTCGATCTACAACCTTTTCACTATCCAGCGAGCAATGCCAAGGAATAAACAGTGCATGGGGTCAACTATCAGATGTTTAATAGAATTATAATATGGTAAACGCAACATCTCAGACCAGCGAACATGTGTGGTTTTAATGTGCCGCTTCCTATCTTCCTTGGTATGTTGATGTTTTCAGATAATTGCATTACGTTTGTGCTCTTCTAAACTCTTGGTTTTAAACCAGTCATGCATGTTATTAAAACCTCCAAAGTTATACCTTTGATCTTCTTCTTCACTTGCCCTTTTGTAACATCTATGACAGCCAACCAATGCTGATATATGGCCGCATAATTTTCTGGCAGCTGGTATATCACTGTTACAGCAAATTATGGCCAATCGAACCTTTTTTTTTGTGCAACTCTTTTCTATTTGCAAGTTACAACCATTCCAGAGCTCTAACAATTCATCTATTATTGGAGCAAGGTAATGGTTTATTCGATGTAATTTTACCTCATTAGGTCCTGGCAATATTCCAAGAGTCAACATATTTTCTTTTTTAAATCTTACATCACGAGGTAAATTGCATATAACCCCATAAATTACACCACAGCTATAAACTGAGGATTTAAATAGCTGAAACCAATCTAAGTTAATAATAATTCCGAGATTGGTTTCAGCCATTTCAGTAGTAAAGAATTTAGGTGAATCTGGAACATTCAAACAAGATGGAAAATTTTTCCAAATGTTTCTGTCATAGATATCAGACATCAGTTTATTAGTTACTTCACGATTAGTCCATTTTCTTAAGAGTGCTCCAAATTCAGGTCGATTATATATAACTTCTAACTGCGCCTTTATAGATAGTAGTGGATATATCTTTTTAGGATGCCAAACATAGTTTTTAACAGTTGAGATCTGTTTTAGTATATCTGATCTGCAAGAATTACGTTGATTTTTCATTGGATGTTTGGAAAATTCAATGTAAGTACACTTGAATCCATCGAATTTGACATTTGTTGAATCATTTGGCATAATATCCGCGAGATTGTATAACTTATCACACGTAGGACATACAGCATAAGTTTTTGATTTTTTCTTAATTTCTAATAACTTTCTAGCCATATGGATAGTTGATGGAAATTCATTATATTTATTTGGTTTAATATTTTTTAGAAAAATATTAAAAAAGCCTATCAAAGAGCCAATTGCAACATCAGAATGCGTAAACCTTTCTTGAAATTTAAAGATCCAAAGAAGGATCCATAAATTATCATTCATGCTTGTAGGAATTTCCTGATCTGAATCATAGTCAATGTTAAAAGAATCAGGAGCTGTAAATAAATCATCGACATAGTCTTCTAAATCTAGATCAGCATTATTTAAATCAATCGTTTGGAGGCCCTCATCATTATTTAAGTCATAAGAACCTTCATCACTACTAGATAAATCACTAGATGGATTAACTTGTTGCTCAGATTCTTCTTCAGAAGTGTTCGAACTGATAATATCATTGACTCTCTGAAATTGATTATATCTTTGCCTTTTCCGCTTCTTTGTAATACTAGATGGCATCGTAGTAGAGCATTCACTAAAACTATCATATTGGTAACCATCATCAGTCACTGCTGCTACAGTATTATCCTCATGAGTATCACCGTCAAAAGGTTCAACAGAAATAGACCTATAATGATATCGATTTTTTAAATTCGAAAGACAGACTGGTGTTGGATTATTAGCTTTTTTGCTTTTCGTTAAGTTGGAAATTGATTCTTGAAGTCGGTTCTCATTTCTTTCATGTTTTTTTCTAGTTCTTGTTTCAACAAGTTTGCCGTCGCATTCTTTGCAATAGCATAGCACCTTTGGCCTTAATTTTTTAGGCATTTTATTATTATTTTTTTTTT